GCTCCCTATGTAGATATAAATGGTTCATTCTGAAGCAACGAAAACACAGTAATTCCATATTTCCAGGTGATTATACACTAAAGAAATCGTACTTATTATATTACATGTAATTCCTGTCAATATATCCGGCTTAATCCTCCACACTGAACCCTTGAATTGCTTGTTTGTCTATTTGCATGCATTTTCTTCAGTTTAAAATTATTGCAACATACTGTATATAAACTATTTATTACAATAATCCAGTGATTGGTTATTCTTTGAAAAGCATGCAAGCAATAATACAGAAATAGAAACAAGGAAAGGCACAATAACCGTCCAGTTGGCGTGGGACTAAAATATAATTAGAGACAATGCATTTATAGTCATACATTCAACAAACCAGAAAAATGCAAACAAGTGCCTGAGTGTTAAAAAGGAAACAAAACAACAAAGGAGAGATTTTAATTCACATCAAGTCACGCTTCCAGATAGTCAATACAGCAGCCAAACAGGCAATGCGATAGTGTTCAAAGGTACAAAATGTTGTCCAGAAGAAAGACTGACTTATAGCATAATCTTAGAGCATCCACAGTCATGTAGTTTTTTTTTTTTTATACAGAAAACAGTATCAAACATTAGGCAAAGTCATCTCATGACAAAACCAAGAACATACGCATGCAGTTGTGTTTTTTTTTCATAATATTGAGCTTGCATACAAAGGCAGACAGATTACAAAATCAAAATCACATGTCGGTTGTATTCATTACATATTCATCAGAGAGAGAGGGATCACTGTTGTGTCAAGGATTATATTGAGATGCCAACAAGGTTTCACAGCCGGTCTGTGCATCACAAATCGATGTGGCTGAAGAGGCTGTGAACGTGAGGGCCAATGTGATGCATTAAACATTTAATTCCCCGGCTTCGAAGGTGTGATGCCATTTGTCATAATCAAATTTTCTTCGGATTTAACAGAAGACAGTGTGAAAGCGACGTAATAGTTTTAATAACACTGCGTCAACAATGAAACTGGGGTTCGAAAGGGTCAAATGATACAATGAATGGACTTTGGGGCTATTCGTGATTATAAATAAATAATGTGATTATAAAAACAGTCACACTGACAGGATCGACATGCTCCTAGAAACAAACATGCCCGGCCTATCGCTTACAGTGACGTGAGGTAATGACAAAAAGCTGTTAGCTGAATTGCAAGCCTGACAGGAATCCTGAACGTTAACATGAGGACTATTTGTATGCCGTATTCTGAGTTACCAGTCGGTGCACAGTGGGAATTTACAACAAGGTGGGTTTGGGTGTGGGGGGAGGGGGCATGCAGAAAAGGTCATACTGCGGGATCAAACTCATAAAATCACAAATACATGGCATGCATTACAGCCTACTGGTCCATGAGGGCAACTCAAGTTGGGGGGTTTCAGCCCTGGTAAGTTTCCAGGGCTGCACAGGGACTCGGGGTATCAAACTGTAACATAAATTATTAAAAGAAAGAAAAAAACATAAATAATCCAACAGGCTAGAAAGTAAAGTTTATTATCTGACTTGAGTGACGGAGCTCCTGGTTGTTTGCTCTGGGGTTCAACCATCTCTATTCCCAGATATGTGTGGTCCAAATACAGAGCCTGAGATTTGACATATGAACAATATCAACAACACACTACGCTGCACATTCTCAGAGGGTCTACTGTGGAATAGAAGGGGTTAAACATGTACATTCTGTTTGATACATTTATAGTGGAGCTGCTTACATTATATAAAAGAAAACCCTTCAACAGATACGTAACAATATACATACACGGCTAGTATATTAAAAAATTCTGCCCTTCTCACCCTGGACCATCTCAGCACAGTTTGCATTGCACGACTGAATAATCGCAGTGAATTTAGCGACAGGCGTGTTCGCCCTTCCAGCAGCAAACGTCAGCAACAATAGGCTGTTGTAAACAATACAAGCTTTTGATATTATTCTTTTTTTTTCTTTTTTTTTTTTTTTTAATATTTGACGTAAACTTTCTGTTTTTGAAATACGGCCCTTTTGACAAACAGCAGGTGAGTCACTTTATAATTTTGGGTACATTTCACATTTAAAAAAAAAAAAAAAAGGATTTTTTTTTTGCTTGTTACCCAATAGCTTCTTTGCATTTGATGTCATGCATCAGTGTGCTGTGCAGAATCCTAACTAATTAAATATTACATTAAATTTTCCAAGCTCAAGGTCAATTGTCCCCTGCAACGCTTGACTTCCTTTGATGTCCTTTGATACTTTGCTTATTTGACCTGGTACGTCAGCGTTTTCATTCAGAGAAGTTTCTCAGCTGTATACTTCTCTCCGTGCTGTAAACTCTTGGGGCAAGGCCTCTAAACGGAGAATACATCGAGGCAGGACATTTAAATGACGACTGTTTTTTCAGCAGCCACATTTATCACCATCAGATCACTCCTATGCTATGATCGGCCAGATAAGAACGTTTTTAATGATTCAAACATGAACCCTATCGTAAGATGATTTCTGCGCTCGGATCTGCGTTGGTTTGTATGATAGATTGATAAATGAGGGCCAATGAGTGCACAAAATGTCTTTATATATGATCCATCCATCCATTTTCATCCTCTTATCTGGGGCTGGGTCACAGGGGCAGTGGGCCAAGCAAAGCACCCAAGATGTCCCTCTCCACAGCAACACTTTCCAGCCACTCCCCGAGGTGTTCCCAGGTCAGATGAGATATGTAATCCCTCCAGCGTGTTCTGGGTTTGCCCTGGGGCTTCAGTGGGACATGCCCAAAGCACCTCCAACAGGAGGTGTCCAGGCCACATTCTGATCAGATGCCCAAACCACTTCAACTGACCCCTTTTGACGCAAAGGAGCAGCGGCTCTACTCCGAGCTCCCTCCGGATGTTGAAGCTCTGGCTCTAAGGTTGAGCCCAGCGACCCCATGGAGTAAAAACTCATAAGTTTCTTGGCCATATTACGTCTCTCCATCTTGTAAACTGTAGGGGCGAGGCTTCCTAACAGTGAATATATTGGGATTCTTAGCAGTAGCATTTATCATCGTTCCTATGCTATGATCGGCGAGAAAGAACGTTTCATGAATCCTACTGTAAGATGATTTCTGCACTCAGATCTGCGTTGGCTTGTATGATAGACTGACATATGAGGGCCTTTGAGTGCACAAAATGTCTTTAAGATTTTATATTATGCTTTCCCTTAATCTGTTAAATATGATATTTTGAAGAAAATAGTTTAAAAATATATAATAATCATCACAGGACATGAAATGTACCCTCAGTTATAGAATGACTCAGGTACATTTTCAGCCACATTACAGCTGAAAATGCTGCCAGCTAGTTTTTTTGTGGAAAGTACTTTTTCTGTAAACAATAAGCAACACACACACACACACACACACACACACACACACACACACACACACCATAGAGCTGCCCAATCATGTGGTGCTGTGGTTCGACAAGTGATTTCCAGACCAGGCTGCTCGGCCACTGAACCTCATTCTGTTGTTGATTACAGTGGGTCTCTATCAAGTGGCCTCTCCACCCTCATTACAGGCTGTGTGATGTGATCGCAGTGTACAGTCAAAGTTTTCACCTCAGTGCTGAAATTATCTACTGATCATCTGAATCATCAGGTGCATATGAGATCTACTTTTGTATTCATAACCCTCTCCAGCTCTGGAATAATCACAGATTCAATGCTGCTATTACACCATTATGCTCTTACTGCACTTGTTGGCTCCCTGCGCCGCTGTGTGAGAGAAATTCCATCTTGCCCTTGCAGTCTGAAGCCCAGCTTGGTAAAGCTTTCAGTGTAAAAATCACTTCTGACCACAGGCAGACAGCTAGCTGATTGAAAACAGCGCTGTGGCCTTGTACCCATGATTCATCCCCAGTTATACTTGAATTTCTAAATGCATATCTGATGTAGCTACCCGTTGCTTTAGCACTGTAAGTAACAAGTCTGGTTGTAGTGACTGAATGGATGAAACACTTGTGGAGTCTTGACATCAGGATTACCACAAAACTAGGCAGCTCTATAGATTAGGAGTTGCACTGAAAAACCAGTGAGTAATCCGAGTAAGTGGTGCTTTGACACCTAGCATTGTCTCATAGTGATTAGCCTATACAAAGACACAGGGCATCAGTGTTTGTAACGTTTGTGAATACTTGCTGTAAGTAGCCTTGAGGCAACCCAGTCACCAGAAGGAAATGTGGGATTGTAAGTTTCTGGAAACCATCAATAGGTTACGTTTGTACATTTTATACATATCACACCAACATTTCTAAAGTGAAGAAGTAGATGAGCTGACATTGTCATTGGATAGTTGAGGGGGTGGTGGATAGTAACGGTGGGTACTTTCAAGAGTACCGACTGAATGATGTCGGTGCTGCTGTGCACCACTTCACGTTAAATTCATTCGGTGCCAAATGTCGGTACCAGCACATCTAGATAAGAACAATGGGTTCAGACAAGAGGCAGAAGGGCCACAAAGTGCCTTGAAACCTGGAAGCCAGCCACAGAGCACAGCAGAGCCTCAGGGCTCAACATCAGACTAGGGATGGGTATCGTTAGGATTTTAGCGAGACTACTACTTTTACAACCCGGTCTCACTCCGAAGTCGTTGAAATCCAGTGCGTGGGCAGTGACTTGCAGTGTTGGACACTGATGAAAAAAGCCGTCCTTTAACGTCGACATGATAAGTGGCTGGTCACCATTATAGTACAGTGGTGGATGGGTCTATCAAACACTGACTTTCACCCGAGAGAGCTGTGTTCGCATCCTGTAAGATTATAAAGGAAACCTTGTTCTTTTTTCCTAAACCCAACCATGTGTGTTAGTTGTTGCAAGACAAAAACGTCAGTTTGTGGTGTTGTACTGACATTATGCATTTATTTTGAAAGAAGACAATGCATGTAACAGGCAGAACTTGACACGGTGTCCCAGAACGTCAACAACCAACACACCCAGGGTACCTTTCACATCGTATTTGAACGTGGAAAGTCCATGACCAGACGTCCATATGTGACGAGGTCGGAGTGAGAATGTGTTGGCTTTTACGGTATACGGCAGACAGCAGATAAGGCAATAACTGTGAGTCTTTTTAAGCCACTGGTCACCGTGTTGCCACCAGGGATAGTGTGAAATGTGGTAGAATATGTGGTGGCTGTCATTTGTTTTGATGACTCGATTAGCTGTAGCTCCTGACAACATTTTGCCTTAAAGGTCTTGATTTGCTGAGGGCCTCAAAATTGTGGGGTTTTTTTTTTTTTTTTTTTGTTCTCAGCCTAATGCTTTGGCATCATTATCTAACCACTGTCAGCTGTGTGACTCTGTATGTGACTGTGATTTGCTCAACCTAATGCTGTGGCAGGATCACCTAATCGTCATCAGCTGTGTAACAAAAGTGTGGTCCATATCAACAGATCAGTGTACCTGTGTCTCAGTATGTTTGTTGATCTTGAAGAAGCCCCAAAAGCCAAAACGTCATCAAAATTAAAGAAATGCATAGGGAGCCAGAGTGTGCAACACTTGTTTTCTACAATCATGGCACCAGGGATAGTACCAAGACGTTGGTGCTTTCCAGCAGCCTTTAAGCCACCAAAACCAGAGTATTTTAAGCCAAAACATGATCTATACGTAGCTATATTCAAAACATAACCCAAGAACATGTTAACCACAGCACTGTTGAGAGTAAAGTTTCAGTGTATCTGCTACATTATAACGTGCAAAAGTAACTTATCACTGGGTTGCAGAAATGTACAATGCCAACATTCATTTTAGCGACTGGGTTGCTTTAGGAGGCAAAGTTGATTTTTGTATCACAGAGTTTGCTCAATGGACAGAAATCTGGTAACGTGACATGCTGCCAGTTTTACAGATGAGCATAAGTTGTTAAAAAAATCCTCTACACTGAACTTATAGCTATCATCTGCAAACATCTTATAACCATTGAGAACTAGATTTAGTGTTGTTTGGTGTTGTTGGTGCGATTATGATACTCTCCAACTCTCCAATCCTCTCCAACAAACCGCTCTGCAGCTCACTGGGAAGAGGACTGAAGACCTCAGTATACTTCAAACGTAATTATTGGCGTACCAGTATCTGAGACCTCGATGGTGGAGAGGCTCTCAGACAGTCTTACATATGAACGCCTGCAGACAGCGGGGAAGGAGGCCATTCTGCTGAGGCAGCGGGATGTCCACACAGAAGACTCCATCAAAAAAGTTCATGGTCATCTTAAAACTTTTTAAAATATGCAGAAGTTTTAACTTCAATCAAGCGCAAAGCCAGAATGGACACACCGTATTTCTGCTGTTTGCCTTGTGATTGACGTGACATCCTTTTTTGTGATGTTCTAAGCCACTGTGCAGTGTTTCCATGTTTAATAACCCTTTAAATTCATGGATCTATACCTTGGAAGTGAACCTCCTGAATTTCATTATCTCGCCAACACCTAAAACACCCCACCACCACCACCACCACCACCACCACCACCACCACATCATATTGAAATACTGTTCTCAGTCTGAAAGCCAGAGGCAGCATTTGAACTTCTCTCTCAAGCTGTCTTTGCTCTCTTTTTTTTTAATTCTTCTCACAACCGTTTTTTAAAACTTTTTGTTTGTAATATCATGTACAACACAACTATTGCCCTCTAGCAGAGACAGTTTAGAAGTGTTCACTGTGGGATGCAGCCAGGAGCAGAGGCGGACTCCAGCGTGGTGTAATGAGAATATGTTTTAAGATTAATGCTGTTTACGCCAAATTCCCACCCATCTTGTGTAACTTAAAAATAGTATCATCAGACAGTTTTTGCCTCTTTTTAGGTGGCAGGAGTGAGAATTAGTCATCCTAAATATTTGGTCTGTTATGGTTTCAGAATGATGAAGACAGTTGGAGAACAATTAAATACAAAATAGGATGTAGGCTCCACAGGAAGATTTTCTTTCCTTGGCAACTATCATGCTTTTCCCAAATTTCCCTTGTCATTCTTTTGTCTCAAAAGGCTTGAAAAATATTGCATATAGCTGCTGTAAATGGGGAAAAATTCCATCATGGGAGCATGCTCCCAGGCTGAGCCCCATTGTTAACAACATATGGCTCCGCCCCTGGCCAGGGGAAAGCGATGATGACAGGCTTTTCGCATTGGGGTCAAGTTTGTTTTCTAATGTGACATCACTATGGTTAATGTTTGGTTTGGTTTAGGCACAAAAACCTCGGGAATGTCGATGGTATGCTTATACTATACTATTCTTTCTCAGACCTTGAACTCAAATCATTGTGTTGCCCCGCCCAAAATAATTAAATTAATATGGTAAACATGCGGGAGACGAGTCCACTAATGGGCCTAAATGATGACTATTGGTCAACTCAGAAAATTCTCAGTCAGGGCAGCCCTAGTTTCTTGGAGGACAGTCTCAGTCAGACTCCATAATGTACGATCTGGTTTGTTTGAAGCATACTGAGGCCTTAACTTGTACAGTAGGAGTCACACTAAAGGATAAATGCTCCATGTTTCTCTACAAACTACTTGAAGTTGGCCCGTTGTCATAGAGCCATTCACATGGGTGATGAACAACAGGACCTTCACTACCTAACAGCTTTACAATCATATTAAAGTGCAACATCTTCAGATATCGAAATGAGAACTATTCCACTAAACATTCCTGCAGACTCCGACAGTATAAAAATGTTGCTACATCCTTTGTTAGGTTCTCCGCTCTTTCACCACCAAGATGACTGTATGACGGGTTTGTTTGTGCTGTTTCAGGGACTGTTGAATCATTGGTAAATCTTTGAACTGCTGTGAAGGATCTCATCAAAAGTAAAGCATTTGCTCCTTTTTATCTACTCTGATCAAACAGGAAATCAGAATTATGAAGCCTAAAAATCAACACTACCATCCACGTGATTCATTTTGTGGATTTGATTTCTCTTAAAAGAAAAATAACTGAGCAGCCATGCAACCCCCTGTTGTACATGTGAACACAAATGCAAGGATATTTTTAACTGAGCCCTGTTGAGAGGAAATATATTCCCAAAGAGGTGTCACAGGTCACTGTGGCCAACATGAGGAAAATCCAGAGAAGAAGAGCTGGGAGGAGGCGTAAGGACAGTGAAGGCAGGAGTCCTATCTGGTGCAGCCAGGGGAGGGACGGGGGCCAACAGGTTGGACGACAGGATGTGGGTCTTCAGTCATTTAATGATCCGGGTAATTCATTGGTCAACGTGTGCCAGCGCTCAATTTTCTTGTCCTTGTTTTTAAGGCAGTCAAACCAGTGTTTGAGCCTCTCTCCGTTTGCATTGATACCCAGAGATACACCACCTGAAAGAAGGCACAGGGAGAGTATCAGTCATTGACTAATGTGACAAAACAGTCTCACACACTCAAGGTCCATTTAGTAGCTGTTCTGATGTGTTCGCTGTGTTGCCTAGGGCAACCATCGTGTTTTAAAGTGGTCATTAGTTGACACAATGAAATATTGCAGAGTCCAGTTCTTGGTAATATTTTCAGTTTTCAGGTTCTTTGAGGGCAGAGCACCTCAGGATGTGCTGGCCTCTGGAGTAAATTCTGTGGATACATCGTCACAAACACAATTAGGCCTCGTCCACGTGGACACGGGTCTTTGTAAACATATCTGTTTTTTTTTTTTTTTTTATGCCTTTCTATCTTTCATGCACACGCAAACTGTGTTTTAGATCAGTGGTTCCCAACTGGTGGGTCACGGTCCAAAAGTGGGCCTTGGTCCATTCTGAAATGTTAGGTAAAATTGAGGTTTTAGCTTGAGATGTCAGTGGCCAAAAACATGTTTTGTGATGTCACAGTGACCTTGACCTTCGACCATAAAATTAAAATCATTCCATTCTTGAGTCCAAGTGGATGTTTGTGTCAGATTTGAGAAAACTCCCTCAAGGTCTGCGTGAGATGTCATGTTCACAAAATGAGATGGATGCAAGGTCACAGTGACCTTTACCTCTGACCACCAAATTCTAATCAGTTCATCCGTGACTCAAAATGGATGTAAGGGGTGTAATGATCTGTCAACCTGGATCGATACATCAATTAAGTGATTAACGATCCAGTGTCATTGATGCAGAGTGGAAACATCGATCCTTATCGTCGTCTTTAGGTGAGCAAAAAACAATAGTTTTGTCTATGAACCTTGACAGTTATTACTGAGCTGAATGTGATACTTTTGTTAAATGATGTTGTTTTTAATTCATGTTTTGTGACTGTTGCCAGATGTTCATCAAATCGTATTGTGGCAGACTTTGTATTATCGATAAATAACATATATCGTTGTCCAAAGAATTGATATCAGTAGATATCATATCGTGATGAATTTGGTGATTTACACCCCAAGTGGATGTCTGTGCCAAAATTAAAGAAATTCTTCAAGATGTTCTTGACATATCATGTTCACAAGAGTGAGACGGATGCAAGGTCATGGTGACCTTGGCCTTTGACCACCAAAAATGAATCTGTTAATTGTTGAGTCCAAGTGGACATTTGTGCCAAATTTGAAGAAATTCAGAGTCAAGGCTTCCTTGAGATATCGCATTCACAAGAATGGGACAGACAAAGGGATGGACGTATGGATGGGCAACCCGAAAAGATAATGCTATTGCCAGTGCAAAGGTATAAAATCACTGGAGACTAATACAGAAGTAAACCCTCTCAATCATCACTTCTGACCTTGTAGAAGTGTGTGGTGGTTTATTGTTCTGCAGAGACTCTGACCTCTGCCTGAATTTTGTCATTGCCTGTGTTTGGGATGGTTGTGGTTGTGTACCCCCACAGCATTCAGGTGAGGTCGGAGCTTTATAAAAAGGTAGCGACCAGGTGCCAGACTGTAAGCAGCAGGCATATCAGATTCACAAAATGAGACAGACGCAAGGTCAGAGTGACCCTGACCTTTAACCACCAAATTTTAAACAGTTCATCCTTGACTCAAAGTGGATGTTTGTGCCAAATTTGAAGAAATTCGTGTTACTGAGAGATTAAATTCACAATGAGATGGATGCAAGGTTATTGTGACCTTTGACCACTGAACATTGACCACCAAAATTTAAGCAGTTTATTACTGAGTCCAAGAAGACATTGGTGCCAAATTTGAAGAAATTCCTTCAAGGCTTCCTTAAGATATCGTGTTTACGAGACTGGGACAGACGTACAGACGGATGTGCGGATGGACAATCCAAAAACATAATGCCTTTGGCCATTGCCATTGCCGTTGATGGGGCACAAAAACAATGTATAGACTCATACAGAAGTAATCCCTTTCAATCATCACTTCTGACCATGTAGAGTGTGTGGCGTTTTCTTACTGTCTGTGTTCATGACATTTGTGGGCATGTACCCCCACAGCGCTCAGGTGAGGTCAGAGCTTTATGAAAAGGTAGCGAACAGGTGCAGACTGTAAGCAGCAGGCATCCAAGAGACACAGTGCCAAACAAATACAATCATAGTGAGGTGAAAAACAAAACGAGTGAATCTGGGGTTGGCTTTTACCTACACTTTTGTAGGCGAGTGTGTTTACAAACATCAACCTACAATCCTGCATAGTATACCTTTAAGACTGTGGCAAAGAAAATCAGCTGCTGGTATTAAATTTTCTCTCAAAATGTATTTATAATCTAGATTTTAAATGAGAAAAGCTTTTTATCACTGCTGAGTGCTTAAAATGACATGACTACACGATGGCAGACCAGCCAGTTCCCAGCATGGCTCAGTGCTTGTTTGTTTCTCAGCCTCCAGCCTTTGAGAGGAGCCGGACAGATGGCAGACTCAGCTGGACAGAGGGCCAGTGGTGCTGCTGATGCTGATGAATAACAGCCAAGCTATTTTATCCCATCCCACGTTGTCGTCATCGGTGAATAAAGCAGAGCTGGCGCCGTTCACCTGTGCTTACCTATGAAATCGTTGGACTTTCCGATGTCATAGTCCCACACGGTTACCTCCAAGGTCTTTTTGGTGAGGTCTGCATATTTTATGTCGTAACAGAACTCCTACAGAAAATGACAGAAAACAAGAGTTTATCTCTCCAGTATGATCACATACAATTAAATATCACATCACATAGTATAACGCCTAAAATATGGGTTTAAAAGGCCCTGAACAATTCTCCTGCATGGTGTTGGGTTTGTTTATTATCATTACAAACTTAGTGAAATTGATTCACTTTATTCCAAGTGCCTCATTGAGTTTTAATTTCTTTTGTTAGTGACTAAGATAGTTGTGTTTTCTCAATCTCAGGGAGTCATTCACCACAGACAGACACTTATATAAACTCATCCAATATACTACAAGGGCAAGAAGTATCTGGACTGAAGCACCGAGGAATTAAATTTAAAATACATATTAGGGCACTTTACCAGAACGACAGTATAATCAATAAAGTCCACTGTCCACTAAATGAAACAACCATTTTCTAATATCAATTTGCAGCATGCAACGCAGGAGAATTCATCCTGCATTTCAATCTGTAGTTCAATCAGGGTCGCTGCTCCACCTTAATGAAATCAATGCCTTGATATGAAGGGAGACCCCATTGCTCGTCTCTGACAGAAAGGCCAAGAGGTGATGCACGGATATGGACGCAAAAAATGTCAGAGGAAATGTCAAGCCGCTGGCCTGTGGGAGCGTTTGGCCAGGGCCGTCTGCTCGTATACAGGCGGGTGCTTCAGAGCCAAGCTGCCCTGTGCCATGACGCACTGAAGGGCCTTGAAAACATGTTTGGCTTCCTTCTGCAAAACATGGCCGCGTCCTCAGGGAGTTCAGCAATGCATTTTGGATTTCAATAGCATTGACAATCAGCCGTTCTGGTTACAAAATAGGTGGTGACTGTGAGACTTAGCTGATGAAAATAAGAATGGGTGAAAGCAACGTTACAGCACAGCTCTGAAATTACAGTCAAATTATCACAAGGTCACCATTACAGACCTGCCATAATTGAATTTTCTTAGTCACTTGGGGGTCTGGGGAACAAGCTGTAAACATACTGCCAACACTGGCATCTATTCTCTATGGGAATCCGTATAAAGAATAAAGAATATTTGGAGTTATGTTTTTGGCTACAAATATAAGTCCAATATTCAGTTTCCTTTTAGCTCTGTTTTGTTCTCCACTGACTCACCAGAGAAATATCCGTCTTTTTAGGTGCTAAATGCTCCACTATGTTCACCAGATAGTTATGAACTGTGTCTGTCTGCTGTTTGGCGCTGAGCAGGTCAGTGGGTTTTTATTGACTTTTCTCCGCTGCCATGTGATACATGGCTGATCAGATCAGTGAGTTCAAAGATGCCAAAATGAGATGAGATCTGCACAGTTGGTAATATTGCTCTGTGGAACGACATCTTTACATTATGTGTCTTTTATCACATCTTAAAAACTGGGGTAAGCAGTTTAATTCTGCTGCCATTGGGCAAAACTCCCATATTAAACTAGGCATATTGTAATCCAGGTGGCCGAAAAGAAAATTAGAATTCTGCGCCTCCTCTTGGCTCAGTTTTCAGGCTTTAGAAAATCTAGCCCCTGACAGGAGACTTTTGCCAATCGCAGGTCATTTCAGAGAGGGGGCATTCCTATTGGCTGTTCTGCAGATGCAGATGTGTGTGCATGTCCCTTCGGTGAAATCCAGATTCAATGACAAAGATTCCTGCAGAGAAAGTTGCTATTCCAGTATAGGCAACAACTGCTGACAATGCAAAGCAACCCCATAAAAGGAAGATGAACAGAAGTCTGACAATAAATGAAACATATCAGTATCTTTGAAGTGTTTCAAAAATGGAGAGAAAATGTTGCTAATAGTTTAGCCGTCTGCTAACTGGAGCTAAAGGCTCACAGCTTCAGCTTCAAATTCATGTTAATGTTGCTAACATTAGCTAGAGCCTTGGATAACAGTTTGCACTGGACAAAATTGAGCCACTAGTCTCTGTCTCTGGAGCTGCTGCCTTCTCTAAAACCAGGGAAGAAGTCTACAGTGGCGGGGAGTGAGGCAAAGGGACCGTGGGGTGGCTAGCAGCTAATTCTTGTCTCATTTGTGGAGCAACAAGGGGCTGAGCGAATGCGCCACGGGCAACTCTACAATGAAAAAAGATTAAATAAATTAATGTGTGGGTGGGAGGGGCTTAGGATAGAGAACGGAGAGATGCAGGAGGAGGGTGTGTTTCTTTTTGGCTTTTCCAGATTTCTGCCTACCCCAGCTTTAACACAAAGATATGGATTCGTGCAGCTTTAAAGCCCCTGAACATTTATTTTCAAAGGTTTTTCTGTATAAGATTAATATTCATCCTTAATAAAAAACAATCAAAGTAACTGTTATTATTCAGTTATAGTTTAACAGACACAAAAACCCACAACCTGTTTTGGTTCAAATGCCTTTAAAGAAATGATGGAGTTAACAACGATGGAGCGCAAGTTTCATTCTGACATTGTGTAAAACATTTTTCAAGAATGCTGCATCGATATCTGATGAAACATCAAACAGAGATTTGAGACGAGTTAGATGAAGTATCAGTGCTGCCGCCTGAGCTTTACATCTTCGGCTGACTTCTGTGACATATTCTACCTCTGTCCTCAGACAGCTTCAGTTCTGCTGCTCCCTCAAAAAGTCATCTTGTGATGAATTTAGAAAAATGTGCCTTGTTTTCGATCTGACAGCCGTGCCCTCTCAGAATGGCTCTTGTAGGTCTCGAGGTTACGGAGGTTGCTTGGCATATAAAAACAGCAGATACAGTAAACACTCAACTTTGGGTTAAAAAGAAAAATAGGAGGTAAATTAATATATAAATACAGCGAAATTGGAGCTGCACAGTTTTAGCCCAGTATGGTAGGATTATACCTCGTTGAACTCTGGATTGAGCGTCTTCTTTTTCACAGCAGTCTTGTGCTTTGACTTTTTGTTCTCGTCAGGCTTCAGGTACCTGTAGGAGAGTAGAGGGAGGGAAGACTTAATACCTCAAAGCTTTTTACTGCGGCTTAGTCTTGTGGATGGCACAGTGGGGAGAGAAAATACTACAAATCCCTGCAGACTCATTCATTAATGATGCTGATGTGTTATTTGAAACCCTCATCAACTATGTAAATCCTCATATACAATGTAAAGGCATCATTCAGCTGTTATTGTGTTCTGTCCTCCAGAGGGTGCTGTGGCACTGCCCTTCATCCGACCACACAGCTGCATTACACTACACACACTGTATTACATTACTACATTATCTGACTTTAACAGACTCCACCTGTGTTTTTATTAAAGACATCTTTTCCAGCTGGTGATATCTAGATGCTGTTGTGTCATCACCTCTCAAGATTGATGTCCAATACATGGTTAGTTTCCCAACAGTATTTCATCTTAGTGTCTTTCTGACGAGATTGCAGGGGTGAAGACACATCGCCTCTTAACAATAACACATCTCCAAAGTGAGTCGATACTCCTGCAGCAGAGCACCATTATGCAGTTTCTTTAAAGCATAAATCTCAAGTCTTGTCACTATGAGGTTTTATGAGTTTGTTCTGGTTTTATAATCTTTGCTTTTTGTGTTCCTTTAGGACTGAGATAAACTGACTGTTTAAGCTACACTCAGTTACCAGTTTATTAGGTACACCTACCTAAAATGAATGCAGTCTGATGCAACAGTCATCAAAGTCATAATGTTCTGTTGTTATTCAACCTTTGTTAGTGAGGTTTTGGTTTAATTAAAGGCATAGTTCAGACTTTTTGATTTGGGGTTGTGTGAGGTTTTTATCCATAGTCAGTGTATGACGTATAGTTTATGTCAGTAGAAACGCCCCCAGGTTGGAGAAGCAGGCTGGAGTACCGAGGCTAAATGATGCTGGATGGGGACAGCAGCAGAACGTATTAGCCACCTAAAGAAAGTCGCACCGAAAAAAAAATCCATAACAGTCTAAGTGTATGTTATATTGATAGTATTTCCACTGCTTTAACTTTCAGTCAGACAGCCTATTTCGACAGGGAAGCATTTAACAGCTTCAGTTCCCCATCCATGCTCTCTCAAAGCCACCAGACTCCACTGACAAAAATTGTAATTTTGGCTTGCTGAATGTGGGAGCTGCTGCCACAATCCATTTTTTTTTAATTAATTTATTTTGTATTGTGTGACTTTGGCATCTAAAATTGTTAGTTTGGTTTAACCAAAGTTACACAATAACACAAATAAACTAGCTGATTGAGGCAGCAGTAAAAAAGCAGCTCCCATGTTCAGGGATGTTAAATCACTGTTTTTCTCAATGGAGTTCGACTTTAAAGAGAATGGTATAAGGGCGTCAGTTCCTCATCGAAAATCGCTGTCTGGCAGTAAGTTAGAGCAGTGGAGATAATTTGAATGCAGCTTAAACTAATATGGATTTTTTTTTTCTTTTTTTAGAATTATTTTTATTGGTTTTCATATTTACAAGTATCCACGATACATACATAAAACATAGAAACAAAATACAAATAGACATTTAAGACAAAGACTTTTTTTTTTTTTGATATTGGGCTTTTTTTTTTTTATAGTTGCAAAAATACATTTTGCTGCTGTCTCTGTCCACAGCATGGTTGTATAAAGAGAACTAGATACAGCGTTGGAGGCAGGACCCCGTTCATTCCAACACTTTCACACTCCGACCTCGTCACATATTGACGTTTGGTTATGGACTTTCCATGTCTAGATATGACGTGCAAGGTACCCTGGGTGTGTTGGTTGTTGATGTTACATGCATTGTCTGTTTTCAAATTACACTTCTGTTTTCACAGGAAATTTAACGTTTACATACAGTCTCTTTCAAAATAAATGCACTACGTCAGTACAACACAGCGAACTGACTTTTCTGTCCTTCAACCACAAACATACATGGTTGGGTTTAGGCAACAAAAGCATGTGGTAGAGTTTAGGAAAAAAGAACAGTGTTTGGCTAAACAATCTTAGGACATAATAACAGCAACCGACTGCGTATCAAAGGGACGTTAAAGGATTACTTTTTTTGTCGGTGTCTGACGCTAGAAGTCACTGACCAAGCGCTGGTTTTTGACTAGTCAGAGAGATTAAAGCTTCATTAAAGCTCGCCTTTTGTAACAAATCCACCTGCCTACTGTTCTGCATTTGGGTTCTTTTCTGACGTCATTCTGGACACATTGTACATTTCTACAAACCAAGAATATGTTCCATTTGCACATTTTATATGAATCATCAACATTCCCAAAGTGACAAAGTACATGAGCTGACTTTGTCATGTAGAGGTTGAGGGGATGGTGAGTGGCACGTCACCCGGGCGATACGCCTGCCAAGCTGCAGATCATAGTTGAAAACCAACAAAGAACAAAAACAGTTGCGATACATTGCTGTTTTTTTTAGTGGGGATAGTGCCTAGAACATTTGTTTATTTACCAAGACATTGGTGCGTTTTCTGCCAGAATAGTGTCATGAAAAGCGGTAACGTATCCTTGGTTTATAAAAACATATAATGCCAACATTTTCTCTGGTGTCTGGGTTGGTTGAGGTGTTGCTGGTGTTCCCAAAAGGTGTAACACTGCGATCACTAATCAGTTTCAGTTTGCATTCTCTGCAGTCTATGACTCAGTGGTAAACACAGATCATTAGTGCTGCTGTTTGGATGCAGGCATATGTGTCTATGAATGTGTGCTTGTGTTCAGGTTGGACCTTTGCTCCTGTTCTGCCTTCATAAATGATGCAAAAGGCAGGTTGTAACCCTGCGCAGTGGATGTTGTGTATTACCTCTGTGTCCATTTGGCAGAGAGCACTTTTAGGGCAATGATGCTCATTCTGACGGAGGTATATTTCAATCCAGTAAGCAATTACAGTAGCTCGTCACATCTCTCTTTTCCTTTTACGTGCTCACTGGACCCACACAGACTTCAATTTCCCGAGGTAACACAAAGACTTAAAGGGAGGGTAAGTGGGTTATTGCTCACAAACTTACCCCAGGGAATGGGGGCTGAAATTGTTGTTGATGAGGATATTGCAGGGAACCTAATTTATGTCATGTAATGGGACCACTGACCCCCCAGGCAACACAAGCTAACAGCGAATGTTAGAATGCAAACAATGCTGTTGTACCAAACAATGGATTTAAATGTTATTTCATTGTTTAAATTGCTGCAATTTTGCTTCTTTTGTTCAGCAGCTGTGCAATGACATTAAATACTTGCTCTCAAGAAATGTCTTTACCTTTTGAGTGTGATGAAATGCACCTCAGTCATTGACTAAAGAGCCATTAAGGAGGATGTAGTGTGTCATTTCTCACGCTGTACTCTATCACCTTGTCGACGAATGTGTGCCCGCATTCTACATTCATACTGCACATGCATTTTAAGTATATTATCAACACAATACAGCAAACCATTTACAGTTCAGGTGACAGCTGTGACTCGATGCCTCAGATAGGTGAAAGAGGAGAGAAATCATGCAGCCATGTCTATCTGACAGAGTATACATTTCCTTCATTCCCTCTCACATGAGCTCGTGAGTAAATCTATTATCTGCCCGCGTGTCCTTCAAGCTCCAGGGAGATTTTCTCAACCTCAAACCGTTGGAAAATTGTTGCCAGCCCCTCTCCAGCCCCTCTCCTCCGATACGCCTTTGTTCCCGAGGTGTGCACAGCAGAGTCGGAAATTAATTGTACTTTCATTGCTCAGCCAGATGAAAGACTTGGGAAATGTTCAGGTGTGATAAATAGGACTCTCCTTCAAATTGCAGCCCCGCGGATGGCCTCTTGTGCTGTGTTTCTTTCATGCAACTGATAATCACAGGTAGTCTGCCTCTTTCTCTGCTAAAACATCAGCACTGCTGGCTAATCCATTTCAGCACTTCTACACCGCATTGTACACCCACTAAAAATAGCATTATAATGACGAGCATCCGGTGTTTTGTGGAGAGTTGTTTGTCGAGAGGAACGGGAGTAGTCGATTGACAGGTGACTTTACATCAGGTTAGCTTATGTTTTTATGTTATGTCTGCTCTTTAAATGTACAGATCTTTGTCTTATAGTATGTTAAGTCAGATTTTTGGTAGCCCTAAGGACAGTGATGACAGCTTGTCTGATATCTTGACATCTAAAAGCCAATTTTCCATGAAATGTGGTATCGATATTGAAGAAGCCTGGAGGTCGGTTCTTAATGGTGTTGGTGACCTCCTGACTTTTCCCCCAGTGCAAACAAAAGGTCAGATTTTATCCTTTACCCACACTTTAGTTACTTACAAAAAAATCTATGGAATTGGTTTTGGATTCTGCAAAGTTACATAATTTGGAAAGTACAATGGCACAAAACTATGAAAACAAGATCCATGTTGTAATAAAACCGGATTTATCCTTTAAACCCACTTCCACGCTGCGGGGACTTTCAGAGGCTGTATGAATGAAAGCAGAAGACTTAAGAATTAAGAAATCCATCAGTATAAACTAGGTCCTGCTAGTTTGTTGGGAAGGGGGCTAAATAACGCTCAAGTTAGGCTAAATTTTGGCAAGGATAAACAACGTGGCCACTTTCAAAGGGGTCTCTTGACCTCACATCTCAAGATATCTAAAGCCCCATTTCCACCAAGCAGTACAGTTCAGTTCGGTTCAGTACGCTTTTTTTTCCCTGTTTCCACTGTGAAAAGTTGTGGATGGTACCAGTGGAACAGTTCTGTACCGTCCCCATGTTTGGTCCCCCCTCTGTTGGGGTACCTAGCACACAGATATGGTACTAAAAGGTGGAGCTGTGAACACTGCAGTCCGCCAGCTTTTAAGGTGGAACGTTAATTTGTAATGTTACTCAGTTGACGATGTGAATCAATCAACACACCTTAAATGTCACTGTAACAACTTTGACCATTACTTTAGTGTTTATATGGCAGACACTTTTAGTAATGAGTGGATCTTCAAGCGTTTAGATATATTAATTTCAAGCAGGTTATGTGAACTGGATATATTTTCATCCTCACTTGGAGAAAAAAAAAAAAAAACGTCACAGAGCATCGTTCCTGTGGGTTATGGCAACACTAAACCCCTGAGCTTGCCTGAGAAGGACTAAATGCACAAACCCACTGTTTTTAAATATCTAGACTCTCTCTGCAGCCTGTTCTATTTTGTTCTGAAAATGCCGGCGTGCAGCCTCGTTCTGTGGACGATAAACAAGGTGCAGACTTCCATCTGTGTCACCGGTGATGAGGAAATACAGTGAGTGATGGTGACAACAAGGCCACCCACATGAATATTAAGATATTGAATATTGAATTTATAATAATATCATATATTTTGAATCTTTTTTGCATACTGGGGTCCCTAAAGAGTGTTGGAATTGCATAAATTGGGTATGACTGGAAAGCTGAGACTCTTGTGGATTCAATGAGCCCAGTTTTATTCATGTGTGATTATGTGAGTCCCCACAGCAGCCATTTCATTGTAGATGGACTGTTGAGGACTACAGACATCACTGTATATAATGACCTATTGTGACCTCTAGGATAATCACAGCCTCAGGAAATTTTACAGTCACAAACTAGAGACTTCAGGCATCTTCAAATGTCAAGAGTTTTTAAAATCAAATGACGGCATGGATTTTTCTGTGACATTCCTTTAGGTCTTGGTGTCTTAATGTGGTGTTTAAGAGGGATTTTTGACCAGTTTTATGAATTACAAAGCAGGAAACAATCCTTAAGTTCAGCACCAAAACTGTGGAACAAATGGTGTCATCCAAAAATTGCTACAACAACTTATTAAACATAATTGAGCATGGGAACGGCTGTCATATACTTCCATTAGGATGTTCTCAGCCCCTATACAATATAAACTTTCAAAGTTTGAATAGGCTCGTAACCAAAAGACAATGTTTGTTAAATATTTATATCTTCAGGTTCCCAGCTTTCCTAAAGATCCCCTGTCCACCCCCAAAAAAAAGACTAAAATGGGTCTATGGAATAGCACAGAGGAGGTTAAGGTTATATCAGATATGTGGCATATTAGCATCCTCCAGTTTGTGTTCTGTATACTGACGTTTTGACGTAGGGGTCAGAGAAGCCGTTGGCGTCCATGGCGGCGAGGTGAGCACAGCGTATGATGCCCACTACCAGGCAAGACTTCTGGGTGTTGTACTTGAGAGAAATCATGATGCGTCCTCGTTCCTCCAGGGACTTGTCTTCTGTCTTGTTGACCTGCAGCGGTAGAAAAAATTACAAGATTTAGATGTAATAACCAGCAGTGCTCACAGCATCGACCATATGAAGGTGTGAATGCTACAAAAACATAATTTGCAACTGATGTTTCTCGTTTCTGGCATCGTCATCATCATCATCATCATTTGATTAAACCAAAGCTTTAATTTTCAAAATGCTGCAAATCCATGCAGACAGCAGTATAAGTTCCTGTAAATGTTCTCACTTGTGGATTTCAGTCATATTTTTGTCCTGTTTAGCATTTTGTAAAATGAATTCGATAATATAAAAAGTCTTCAGCAGCATCTTGATGGTTGTGTGTCCTGAAAATCAGCCAAACACTGATTGGCTGATTGATGTCACCTCCGCTGCAGAAGGTGAGCTAATAGCCTCATCAAAATTAATTTGCCATGCTATTTAGAGACAAGATAAACATCTGAACAGACACATGACCCATGTGTCTGATTTCATTCCCAACACAGCACTGAGCCCATGAGAGCCAAACTTTAACATCCTGCCAAATAAATCCGAACATTCACGTCTGTTTGGATGAGCTGATCTTAAAGAGATGTGGCCAAGGCTCGATTTATAACACAACTAAACACTAAAATAATTTGTTTTAAAAAATAGAGGATTCTTGTAACATTTCAAGTTATTCATACTTTTTGTAAAATAAGTAGTAACTGAGAGAAAGCGCAGATCTATGTCAGGCGGCTGTTGGTGGCCTTTCTTCATATTAAGTGCCAGGTGTCCTCCTGCATCTGCTGTTGATGTTCCAGGACACCACTACCAAGGCTGGGACGTCAACAAAATCCTATGGTTAGGTTTAGGCAACAAAAGCACGTGGGAACCAACACCCTGACATCAACAAAAGTATGTGGTTAGGTTTAGAAAAAAACATCATGGTTTGGCTTTACATTCATACAGGAATTGAACACCAGGCTCCAGGTAAAAGTCCAAGGTTTGTTGGACCCATCCACCACCCCTCCTGCCCACACTTTAGGGACTTTACGTCCTTACAACCTGACGCTGCCTGTCCACGTATCATACTACTGCGACAGGTGCCGTCTAGCAGACCGGCGGCATATCAGTACACCGGCAAAGGTTACGTCAGGTCGCGTGACATAATGATGCCCATGGCCGCATATCATACCACCTGTGAAAGGTAGCTTTTGACACCGAAATCACAGACAAAGTGGCGGTATTTGACGACTTTTGAATTAGAACAGGCTAAAATATTAAGGTGAAATGACCAAATCAACAAAATCTGCAAGTCTATAAAATCGGGCAGAAAACGCTCTGCTTTTCATTCATTCATTTATTCTGGAGCCTATCCCAGCTGACATTGGGTGAGAGGCAGGGTACACCCTGGACAGGTCTTCAGACTATCACAGGCCTGACACATAGAGACAGACAACCATTCACACTCACATTCACACCTACGGACAATTTAGAGTCACCAATTAACCTGCATGTCTTTAGACTGTGGGATGAAGCCCGGAGAAAAAGCCACACTGACATGGGGAGAACATGAATGCTCCCCCACTCCAGGGAACCAGAAATCCTTTTGCTGTGAGGCAATAATGCCATGCTGTCCTCTGCTTTTTAATCGCTCCAACAAAACCAGGTTGCAGCCGGACCACAGAGAGCTGCTCATTCATCTTGTAACGTGCCTAACTTTAGTGAATCATAACATCTGCAGATGCTTTGGTTCAAAATGAGACCAAACTTTTCTATGAATTTGAGTTTTTGAGCCACGACGAAGACCAAAATGTGTCCTGTAACAGACGGCAACACTTGTTGTTTCGGCGAAGCCATTTTCCAGAAAAAATGCAGCTCCTACCTGCTGGTTAAGGGGAATGAAAACTCAGCAGTAAGTGACGGTATAAAACAGTCAGTTAAACAGGCTGTAGAACAATTATAAATCACCGCAACCATGAGATACAAAATGTAAGGCTGATTGGTCCAGTAGTTTGCAAGATTAGCTACGGAAAGACTGATGTATTTTCTCTCACACATACACTCAAACACACGGCCAAATGCACAGTCATACATAATTTCCACTCATTAAGCTTGCAGTTCTACCCCCACCCTGCCCGAAACCAACCATCAAATCAACAATCAATCAGTAAGTTGAGTCAGTTATTATTCAGTGGTTGGCACTCTGATTCCCCCCCCCCACGTCCCTTCAGTGCTCCACAGGGCTTTTAAGCTCCCCAGAGAGAAAAATATATGCTTGATGTATGACTTCTTACAGAAAAGCAGCCCAGGCCCCTAAAGAGCTATTTGAGCTTTGTTTTTTCCACTGCTATGCCCAATGATTTAGAAATGCAATTTACCAGCAACACTCGCGCAGCTGCTGATTGGGTGCATGCGCATTCCCCTTACATCAGCATTTATTTAAACCGCATATACATTATAAGACTATTCATATCAGTAGAGCAAATGCACAGAGGCTTAAGAGCTTCAAGCTTATCGAGAGCTACTTGAAAGTGCATGGACCAGTGGAAATGTGGGCACTGTGGAACTGTGAGTTCTTTCATTTTGGTTTGTGTCATTTCAAATTGATATTCACTGAGTTTTTTCAGTCTCATTCTGCCTCCCTGTCTCCTTTATGACAAATTACTTCACACTGAAGCTGAGATATAAAGTTAAAAACACATATAGAGAAAGTTGTTCCAATAACTTTTCACTGTTTTTCTTTAGTCAGCACAGTGATGCAGTGGTTAGCATTGTCGCCACACAGCAAGAGAGTTCCTGGTTCGAGCCCAGGGTGGGGGGTTTGAATACTTCTGTGTGGAGTTTGTATGTTCTCCTTGTGCCAGTGTGGGTTTTTCTCAAGGTACTCCAGCTTCCTCCCACAGTCCAAAGACATGCAGGTTAATTGGTGACTCTAAATTGTCCGTAGGTGTGAATGTGAGTGTGAATGGTTGTCTGTCTCCATGTGTCAGCCCTGTGATAGTCCTGTGACCTGTCCAGGGTGAACCCCACCTCTTACCCAATGTCACCTGGGATAAGCTGGATTTTACTGCATGACCTGTGTGGGAGTCTATATTAAAATTAAAACTGAGGATTTAATATAGTTTTGCTTTGGGCTGCACCTATCTTTTCTTATTTTTTTGACTGATCTAATGATAGAGTAATTGACTAATCAAAAAAATGGACAACTAATATATCAATTATACTAATTAAATTTTTTTTGTTTTGTTTTGTTTTTACTTTATCCTACTATTAAATGGAGAAACCTCTGTCCCTCCCTCTGTCCGTCCCAGTCCGTCCGTCATCAACCGTTTTCCTCTTCACTGCTTTGACCAACTTGCACATAGGCTTTCATCTTGGTCATATACAGACAGCCACGATGCCGTTATTGCATATTCCCCACATTTCTACTGTTTATATTCGCGGTTTTCTCCACTACCCATTTACACTGTGAGCATCATCACCAGCGCGAGCTGCGCATGCGCGGGTCATGTGCAGACAGCCACGATGCCGTTATTGCATTTTTCCCACATTTCTACTGTTTACATTCGCGTTTTTGTCCACCTCCCATTCACACTGTGAGCACCATTAGCAGCGTGATGGTACCACAGTTTGGCTGGGAAGCCTTTATCTCCATCACTTGCGGATCGAAACCTGTATGTGTGTACCTGTGTGCCTGCGCACGCGCGTGCCTCTGTGCTGTCAGTCAAAACTATGCTCCATGTATTTTGCCTATAGACTGTATTTTGCCATAAAAGATGTTTCTAAATACAGTGTGCATTGTTTGTCTTACATCAATATTTATTACACAGTGCATTTACAGTGCTCTGATTTTGCATCTCCTCTAATATACTGTTTTTGATTTCTTATTCCTCTATACATAACACATCCCCGGGTATGGACTAGTATAGACTTTATTTTGATATTACCATTCAGAAGAAAAAAGAACAGGGTTACAGCTGACGTCTCCCACCCGAAGCCTCCCTCCCCTCCCTTCAAAGGTCAGTATATATACACGTACATTAAAATAGAAGGTTTAAGTCCTCTGTTTTCACAGTCTCACAAAGACTAGTCAATATTCCGTACATGTTAATACAAACAGATAAACCAATATACAGAACAAAACAACCAAGAAAAGGAAAAAAAAATGTTCAAAATTGATATTTTTTTCCTCAATTAATATAACAATTAATTTCCCCAAAAATAAGTGTCAAGAACTTGTCTCATTAATATTTAGATAATTTAATTCATTAATAATAATAATAATAATAGGTCCAGTATTCTTCCTATCAGACATCAAATTGCTGAGACACATACATTAATCTAATCACTGTATATCGTAGCAGCCCTTTCCCTGAACTGGAGAATCAGTTTTTTAACTTACTTAAGAACTTCACTTAAAACCTGAAATGATTATGACATGGATTTATTTCATCACTGGGGTAGTATACAGGTGAGACAATTACTGGCAGATGCATTTTTGCATCAGTGTGAAGCACGGACAATAACTGAAACAGTTTACAGACTGTGACAGCGGTCTGTAAAGTTAGTTTAAGCCATTTTTTTCACTCGTACATAGCCATTAAAGTAAAAAGAAAATATAAAATGGACGAATAATAACGTTAGATGACGCTTCGTGTAATGTTAGCGGCAGTGCAGAAATTTTAAGTGACTAATAACAGAAACAGTTTCTGCGTATTGATAATAATCCTAATATGTGATTCTTCTGAGGGGACAAACATTAAACAGAATGATGCCATCTTGATAAAGCGCTTAGGGATGCTTTCACTTAAAGTGTCCGTGTACAGCAGTGTGTACTCCTGTGATGAGCCATTTTGGTTGCAGCCATAAAATGGAAAAATAATTGATGTAGCTACGGTGACATCACCCACTGGTTTGTGGGTGAAGTTGACATTTCGCCTGTCGAACCATATCTGGGTGAGAGGGTGGAGCTGTGGAGGAGTGAGGGGTGGATCTGACTGAGAAGCAGAGGACTGTATCAGCAGACAACCTGTCACTCA